GCCTGGTTTTGGTATCAGCGTTATGCTGGCTTCATAGAATGAATTTGGAAGTGTTGCTTCCTCTTCTATGCTCTGAAATAGCTTGAGTAGAACTGGTAGAAGCTCTTCGGTAAATGTTTTGTAGAATTCTCCAGTGAAGCCATCTGGGCCAAAGCTTTTTTGGGAGTATTCTTTTAATAGTTAGAATGTAAAGAAGAATACAGACTAAGCATACATTAACCATAGCCAGAAATTACATATAAAGGGTAATTAGAAGGCTTTATGGAACTCTAGACATGAGTGTAGAGTTGATGCCAGAATAAACAGAAAATGGTACGTAACAGTTGAGTCAACATTGACATTAATTTTGCAAGCAACCTACTTGATATATTTTTAATTTAATTCTCCCTAGAATTTCATTGATAGAAGTGAAAGGTAGGGCATCTCCTCTCTCCTTTCCTGATTTATTGAAAAATAAACAATACATTTATAATTATTCAAAGTTTAGTTATATAAGCTTGGAGTCCCTGGGGGGTGCAAATGGTTAACAGCTCAACAGTTAACCATAAGGTTGGAAGTCTGGACCCATTCAGAGACATCTTGGAAGAAAGACCTGGCAATCTACTTCCAAAAAGTCAGCCATTGAAAACCTTATGGAGCACAGTTCTACTCTGACACACATGAAGTCTCCATGAGCCAGAATCGACTCAACAGCAACTGGTTTTTACTTACATAAGTGTACTGATCATCTATCAGCCTCTCCCCACTCCTTTTTTTTTTTTTTTAAAGAAAAGGATAATCCTGTGGTTGGGGAGGAAACATGGAGGCTGGGGTAGACTGGTAGTAGCTTCTGGCTGAAAGATGTTCCAGTGCTTAAGGGACTTTTAATGTCTTTGATTAAATATATTTTGTAGGCAAGAAAAATGAAAATATAAAAGGAAGCTTAGAATTATTTTTTTAGCTCAGAAATCTATATATGGCATGTGTTTTCCCACTTCCAGAAAACTGATAGGACATCTTTGCTATCCTTTGGTTGTTATTTGGCTTAAATCCTGTTTTTTTTTTCCAAACAAATTCCTCCACATTCTTGTCATCAACCAACACTCATGAAAGGCTTCTGACCAGAGGAAGAGGGTGGAGTGGACCGTTTAGGAGTAGGGAAGGTCTACTACTTATTAGCTGAGTGAATTTGGGTGAGTTACTTCTTAGACCATAAGTTCCTCATCTGCAAAAGAGGGATAAAAGTGCTCTACTTGTAGTGCTGTTGTTGAGAGTAAAATTATAAAAATAGAGTCTGGCACATATTGCTTTTGTTGTTGTGTGCTGTTGAGTTGATTCCAACTCATAGCGACCCTACATGACAGAGTAGAACTTCCCCATAGGGTTTCCTAGGCTGTAATCTTCATGGGAGGAGATTGTGAGGTCTTTGGATCGCCATGGAGTCACTGATGGGTTCAAACTACTTATCTTTTGGTTAGCAGCTGATGGCTTAATTGTTGCACCGTCAGGCTTCCTTTGACAAATATTATGCACTCAAAAAAGGGCAACTATTATTAATACCAAGTTCTACACCAGAAGGCGTGAATTAGGTATGAGATGGTTTCTGCTCTCTAGGGGGTTTGTAATGGAATCACATAGTGAAGAAAACTGCCTAAAAAGACAAATCAGTAAGTGTTCCATTCATTCCTGGATTTAATCATTCAAGTCATGTGGATTCAGGCTCTTACTATATATGTATATATATTAGGGAATCATAAAGACATGGTCTTTTCCACAGCTACCACAGCCTCTGGAAACCCTGGTGGCATAGTAGTTAAGAGCTACAGCTGCTAACCAAGAGGTCAGCAGTTCGAATCACCAGACACTCCTTGGAAACTCTATGGGGCAGTTCTACTCTGTCCTATACGGTCACTATGAGTTGGGATCGACTCAACAGCAATGGGTTTGGGTTGGTTTTTTGGACCACAGCCTCCACCAGACTGAGTCTAGCACAACTAGATGTTGCCCGGCTACCACCACTGACTACTCTGACAGGGAACACAATAGAGGGTCCTGGACAGAGCTAGAGAAAAATGTAGAACAAAATGCTAACTCACAAAAAAAGACCAGACTTAGTGGCCTGAAAGAGACTGGAGAAACCCCGAGAGTACGGCCCTTGGGCACACTTTTAAATTAGTACTGAAGTCACTCCTGAGGTTCACCCTTCATCCAAAGATTAGAGAGGCCCATAAAACAAAACAAGACTAAAGGGGCACACCAGCCCAGGGGCAAGGACAAGAAGGCAGGAGGGGACAGGAAAGCTGGTAATGGGGAACCCGAGGTGGAGAAGAGGAGAGTATTGACATGTTGTGGGGCTGGCAACGAATGTCACAGAACAATATGTACATTAGTGTTTAATGAGAAACTAATTTGTTCTTTACATCTGCATCTAAAGTACAATAAAAAAAAATTCTAAAAAGAAAATACATGGATTTTTCTTCTTCTAAGGAGCTGAAATTCTAGTAGGGAGACAATGTACAAAAATGTTTATAGTGCAGTGTTTGGTATAAGAAGAAACTATAATAAATTCTGTAAAAGGGAATAAGGGGAGAAGAAGTACAGGAGTGGCTTAACAAAGGAGGCACAATTTTGAAGCCTAGGGATGACTAGGCATATACCAGAAATGTACTCACTGTTTGTCTGTTCTTTGTACCCTGTTCTCACTGTTATATACAAAGGGATTTAATCTTCCAAACTACTATATATATCTAAGAAAAAGAGACCACTCTTGGATCATAAAACCATTGCCACTGAAGGCAATAGTGAGAATCCACTGCTATAATCACCTAGGGTACTCATTTCAAAAGTAATTAATTACAAGAAGCGTTAGTCACTTTAAATGTCAATCTTAAAAGTTTTCTCATTACCCAAATATGATTGAATTAGTAAAAATGAAACAAAATAAAAAAACGTAATGTAAGAGCCCTGGGGACTTATAGAAACTCTTGTTTCTTTATACAGAGTTTTATGGAAAAACTTGTTAAAACTATTGAATATAACCTTGACTGAAGGAGTCTATTTATAGACATGGTTAAAAGTAAATAAAAAATAAACAGCAAATAAAATCCCCACAGGGCCCCTGGAGTGGGGACAGGACTGGCAAGACCATAAATCAGAACCTTCCTAATGTTCACAATATGAATGAGATAATGCATGAGCCAGAAAAGCACAAAAGTATTTACTGAGGTCCTAAATTGTTTTGTAACCTACCCTATGTAGTATGAGTCTTGAGACTTAGAATGAGAAGAAAATTAAAAATAGTCAAAGAAACTTTCTTCAGTGAGTCCATTGTAGCACAATAAATACCAGTTTATTTTAAAAAATATTATTTAGTGAACATTTTCTTATTTTTCAGTATGAAATAAAAATATTTAAACATAGACATTCAGGTTTAAAAAACTTGAGGGTTCTTCAGGGGTTTGCTATAAAGGATTGTGGGGTCTGAATCTGACATGTGATTTTAGTTTCCTCCTTCAACTATAAGTTTCTTCTTCAGATGACTGAGAAAGACCCCAGGGGTGATATGTGACAAATTTATTATACTATTGAGCAACAGAATTTATGTTGTCGTTATAATTTGATATATGAACTCATTCATATTTTTATTAAAATTGCAAAAAGAAGGGGAGGCTGGGAAGATGGCAGCATCAGCAGGTCTAAGATCCTGACTCTCCTGCACAAACACCAAGAAAAGCAACTAGAAATCCCTACTCTCAACTTTGTAAGAACTCTGAAAGGTATGCAGTAGATTGCAGCAACTAATTACAAGGTAAAACAAAAAAGGGTGACTTTTAAAAGCTAGGAGAACATTTTTTTTCTATGCCTTCTCCCCTGCTTGCCCAGTGCAGCAACCATGGCAGAGGCTGCAGTGGAGGCAAACCACGGTTTGCGTTCTCACAGGGGATTGCTGCTGTCTGGCTCTGTAGTGAACAGCGGAGACTTTACTGGCAGACCATTCAATGATTCTGTTCTGGTCTGTCTGGGAGCTAACTGAAAGACTGAAGCCTTGGTCTGGCCTGAATTGGAGTTCACACAGGGTGGGGAAGGGAGCTGTGAAGAAAGACGGAAGGCTGTGATCTCCTGAGATGTTCTTACAGAAATTAGTATTTCCAAAAGCGCTGTGTATATGGGGGAATTGAAAAAGTCACACGCATGCCCAGAGCAAACGTATGTTTCGGTTTAAAAAAAAAAAATCACAAAGCATACAAAAAAAAAAATAATAATAAAACTGGAAATGATGGCCCATTCAAAAGGACAAGATGAAGGGAGTAAAGTTATCTCTATGGAAAGGCAGATAACTGACAGAATAGAAGACTTTAAAACAACTGTAGAAAACTCAAAGAGTTAAAGGAAAACAGTCAAAGAACTAAAGGAAATCAGGAAAACAATGCATGAACAAAATTAGACTATCAATAGAGATAGATACAATTAAGAGAAAACAACAGAATTACTGGAGCTGAAAAATACATGAAGCTGAAATGAAAAAAAATAAATGGAGGAACTAAACAGCAGTTTTGAGCAGGCAGAAGAAAGAATCAGCACACTAGAGGATAAAAACCAAAAAACCAAACCCGTTGCTGTCAAGTCAATTCCAACTTCTGAAAGCAGCAAGAAAGAAGTGAATTGTCACATACAAGACATCCTCAAGATTAAATGCCAGTTTCTCCTCTCAAACCTTGGAGGCCACAAAGAAAATATCTAAAAAATACACATAAAAGGAAAGGAGAAAGAAATCAAATGGTTCACAGGAAGAAATCAACCAAACAAAAACGAAGGCAGCTTTGGAAGAATGGAGAAACAAAAAAGGTATAAGACACACAAAAAACAAATAGCAAATGTAATGGATTAAATTCTCCAATCAAAAGGCAGAGAGTGGCAGAATGGATTAAAAAAAAAAAAAAGATCTACCTACATTCTGTGTACAAGAGTCACATCTTAGACCGAAAGACCCATAGGTCGAAAGTGAAAGGATTGAAAAAATATTCCATGCAAATAGTAATCAAAAGAGAGATGGAGTAACTATTTGATATGTACCTAATATCACAGCCCCAAAATATATGAAGCAAGCATTAACATAATTGAAAGCAAAAATAGAGAGTTCTACATTAATAGTTGGAAAATTCAATACACCACTTTCAATAATGAAGAAACCATCAGGAAAGGTCAATAAGGAAACAAAGGTTTTGAACAACACCATAAACCAACCAGACCTAACAGCTATATTTAGAATACTTCACCCAACAACAGCATAATAGACATTCTTTTCCAGTACACATGGAACATTATTTAGGATAGGCCATATGCTAGGTCACAAAACAATTCTCAGTTAATTTAAAAAGATTGATATCTGCAAAGTATCTTCTCTGACCACAATGGAAGGAAACTAGAAATTAATAACAGAAGGAAAACTGGAAAATTCACAAATATGTGGAAATTAAATAACACAGTATTAACCAACCAATGGGTTAAGGAAGAAATAAGAGAGAAATCAGAAAATATTTAGAGTCAAATGAAAATGAAAACACAACATACCCAAAATATGGGATGAAGCAAAAACAGTGCTCAGAGGAAAATTTATAGCAGTGAACACCTATATTAAAAAAGAAGAAGGATCATAAGGGCTTAATATCCAGAATATATAAAAAATTCCAACAACTTAACAAAAAAATACGCAAAGGACTTGAATAGACATTTGACTAAAGAAGGTATACAAATGGCCAACGAGCATATGAAAAGATGCCGAACGTATTTATCCATTAAACCAAAAACAAAACAAAACAAAAAAACCCAAACCCATTGCCGTTGATTCCGACTCATAACAACCCTATAGGACAGAGTAGAACTGCCCCACAGGATTTCCAAGGAGCAGCTAGTAGATTCGAACATGCCCACCTTTTGGTTAGCAGCTATAGCTCTTAACCACTGCACCAGCAGGGCTCCATTTAGCCATTAGGGAGATGCAGATCAAAACCACACTGAGATACCATTTCACTCCTCTAAGCCCTGGTGGCGCGATGGTTAAGTGTTCGGCTGCCAACTGAAAGGTCGGAGGTTGGAACCCAACAGCAGCTCTGAGGAAGAAAAGACCTGACGATCTGCTCCCATAAAGATTACAGCCTAGGAAACCACACGAGACAGTTCTACTTTGTCATACAGGGTTGCTATGAGTCAGAATTGACTCAACAGCACACAACAACAACAACAACAAGATGGCTAAAAAACAAAAATGGAAAACATCAAATGTTGGCAAGGATATGAGAAATTGGAACCCTCATCTATTTCTGGTGAGAATGCAAAATGATACAGCTGCTATGGAAAACAGTTTGGTGGTTCCTCAAAACGCTAAACATAGAGCTACCATATGACTCAGCAATCCCACTCCTTGAGAACTCTGTACTGAGTAAAGTAAGTCGATCACAAAAGGACAAATATTTTATGATCTCACTTACATGAAATAACAAAAGTAGGCTAATGTATAGAGACCATATTTATTAGTGGTTACCAGAGGTGAGGAGGAGGAAGAAATGGGGAGGCATTGCTTAAGGGGTACTGATTTTGTGTTAAAGGTGATGAAAAAATTTGGAAAGATATTGGTGATGGTTGCATAACATGGTGAACATAATTAATGCCACTAAATTATAAACGTAAAAATGGTTGAAATGGCAAATGTTTTGTTATATATATATTCTACCACAATAAAAAAAATTATAAAATGAGCAATCACAGTATATTCTCATTATTTGATTATTAGTTATCAGTTTTCTGGATTATTTGCTCAACTAGTATTAGAATCTAAATTGTTGTTATTTTCAGTCATGGATTTAGCACCATTTGATTCTTCTTTAGTCATTGATTAATGGTCTACTACTTACTACTTACAGTGGTTAAGAGCTCAGCTGCTAACCAAAGGTTGGCAGTTCAAATCCACCAGCTAATCCTTGGAAACCCTATGAGGCAGCTCTACTCTGCCCTATCCGGTTGCCGTGAGCCGGAATCGACTCGATGGCAATAGGTTTGGTTTGTTTTTGTTTTGTTACTACTTCCAGTGGTTAAGAGCTTGGCTGCTAACCAAAAGATTGGCAGTTCAAATCTACCAGCTGCTTCTTGGAAATCCTATGGAGCAGTTCTACCCTGACCTATAGGGTTGCTATGAGTCAGAATTGACTCCATAACAGGTTTGGTTTTTGGTTTTGGCTTACATATTGCTTAAGTGCCAGAGCGGTCAACAGAATAAACACAGCCCCTGCTTTCTTGGCACTTACAGCATGTTGTGGGAGGCAATAGTACATACATACAAATGCATAATTAAAAATTAGTATAAGAGCAATCAAAAAAATTGTTAGGTGGTATGAGAGAAAACAAGGGTGCCTTCTTTAGATCTGTTCATTAGGGAAAGTCATTCTGAGAAACTAATACAAGATAAAGTCTGAAAACTGAGTAAGAGCCAAGCAAAGGCTTAGAGGAGAGTATCCTAGGAAAGCAAACATCGTAATGAAGTCCTTGGGGGTATAAAGATCATGTAGGTCCTAGAGAAGTAAAGATGAGAATAGGGTAAAATAAGAATGTTGAGATGGACAGGGGTCTAGATCATACAGGGAATTGTAGGTCATGTTGAGAATTTTGAATTTTATCCTATGTGAAAATGGAAGTCATTGAGTTGTTTTAAAATACAGAAATGTCATCATTTGATTTACACATTTTACAATTCTGTATTATCCAGTTTATTTAAAATCATATTTCTCAGCTGAGTTAGCGACATTATAAAGGCCCTTAGTTGAGTAGTCAACTATAAGCTCCCTAGTATTGCAAGTCAAATTGTGCTCCTTTAACAACTTCATGCATATCCCTCATCATCTCACAAAACAGGTCATATTGCCCTGATTCTAGTCATCAGTGTCCTTAAGTTTACATTGCGGGAAGCATTATACATAATATATAAATAACTCATAAATCAGTGAGAAAAACAATCTTAATAGAAAATCAGTGAATCATAAATTCGCAGAAGGGAAATATAAATGGCCCCTAAAATTCAAGGAATGTCAAACTCAGGGAAAATGTAAAAAAAAAAAAAAAAAGAGAGAGATATCATTTGCTATCCAACCAACTGCAAAACTTTTAAATTTGGTGATAACAAATGCTGGCAGGGTTTGGGGCCACATGAACATTCATCCATTGCTGTTCAGTATATAAATGGTACAACTACCTTAGAAGTGTGTGTCAATATCTATTAAAATTAAAAATATACATAACCTGTAACCCAAAAATTCCACTTCAAGGCATAGACCCTAGGATTATACTCAGACAGGTACACAAGGAGGCAGATGTAAGGATATTTATTGCAACATTGCTTGTGATGGCAAAAATTTGTATAAAACCAGCAAAGGAATGGTTAAGTTATAGTACATGCATATTACAGGATATTTGGCAGGAGTTAAAAATTACGAGTTAGATCTATATTACTAACATGGATAGATTCTTCAAGTAAGTTAAAAAGCAAGTTACTGAAGGATACATATAGTATAATACCATTATGTTATAAACACACACACACATACACACACAAAAAACTATATGTATTTTTTACAGATGCACTTATACATATGTAAAAGCAAAGAAACAGTTCTGGAAGGGAACTTTCTTTAATATTTTAATTTGTATAGAGTAATAAATCATTTATGTTTTATCGCTTTTATTCTTGGCCCCAATAAAATGTTCCAGCTAAATCCATACAAATACAAAATAATTTACTATTTTGTCTCAGTTAGGAAATAACCATTTATCTTTATTTTGAGGTTTGAGAAGAGAATTTAGGGTTGACTACGCTGATACTGCTGACTTTTTATATATTCTCTTGAAAAAGATTTTTTTTCCCCTTGATAAAATTAAAAAAATTGGAATACTTGCAAAATTGGAGTCTCAGAATGTTCAAATTAAATCAAGGTTATTCTGAAGTCCCCTTTTATTTCAAGCCTTATTAAATCAAATGTTTCTAAAAAACATTGGTCAATTTGATATGTGGTTCCATTACTACTACTATTTCTTTCCATGTGAGTTTCCTCCTTCCAGATACCCCTTTCTAGCTCCTCAGGGTGGGCATACCATCTTGTTAATTGGTTCCTGCCCAGTGGTCAGCCTCCTCTTAGGCATATGATCTACACAGTTCAGGAGCTTTGACTCAGTGGCTTCTCTGAACTTTCCGCCTGCAGGATACACGGGTGCTCAGTGTGAGACCGACATCAACGAGTGCCATAGCAACCCCTGCCAGTTTGACGGCCAATGTGTGGAGCTGTCCTCAGAGAAACAATATGGACACATTGCTGGACTGCCCTCTGCATTCAGCTACCATGAAGCCTCAGGTTATGTTTGTATCTGTCGGCCTGGATTCACAGGTGAGGCCAAGAGGAGGGAGAATGCCTTGACTTTCTAGCATTTTATGGCAGACGTAGGATTAAACCAAATGGTATGCGAGCAGTAAGGTCTATAGGGTGTAAACTCTGTTGCTATGGTGCAAAGGGTCCCCCTTGTGCGAACGAAAATACCTTGTATGACATACCATAATTCCTCAAATCATAAGGAAAATGTTAAAAATAGAGATAGAAGTATATGAAAGAAGACTATTTTTATACATTTTGCTAAGAATTGGCTCCTAACTCAAATTTTTTACCTTATAAACAGAAAACATGGGAGGTTTATGTTATTAGATTTGATAATAATGTTTAATTTTTATGTTACTTAAATTTGATTTTAAGAAAAGTCAACACACTTATTTGTATTTACACTGGGAACAACTACCTAGCCTTAAGTAATTTTCTGTAACTATTCTATAGCTAAAGTTGTTCCTCATATCAAACTTCAATTACTCCATATTTTTCTGCAGCATTTGTACTCTAAAACCCAGAGGAAATTTGCGTGTATGTTTTCCAATAACAGTTGTGTTAGTGTCTGCTTCTGTGTTCTGAAAACTTTCATAAGTTATGAGACAGTCCTCATATTTGCTAATAAAGAGCAACTTACCCACATTTACATAGATACCACTAGCAAAACTAATAATCTTCTAGGCTTCTCTCAACTTCTTTCTCAACAGATTAAATGATATCCAAGGAAAATATTTCAGTTGTTGCTTGTGGATTTCTGAGAAGAGTAAACGAAGAATAAGAGATAAGGGGGTGAGGGTGCTCTATTTACACTGGAGTCCCTGGGTGATATAAATGGTTAACGCACTTGGCTGCTAACAAAAAGGCTGGAGGTTCAAACCCACCTAGAGGTGCCTTGGAAGAAAGGCCTGGTGATCACTTCTGAAAAACAATCCTTGAAAACGCTATGGAGCTCAGTTCTACTCTGACACACATGGAGTCACCATGAGTCTGAACGGACTCAACAGGAACTGATTTTTGTTTGCTATTTACACTTAGGATTACCTTTCTTTTATTGTTTCAGTTTTGGAGTTTAATGATCATTGCTTCATGGCTGTGTTTGCTGTAAGTTTGCTGTAAAAGATACTGTTTATTTCCTTATATACTGTCCCCTGTATGAGAACACGTAGGAGAAAAGTCTCCCTGGTGGTAATATAAGTGGTATTTTTCTGAACAACGGCAAGCTTGCATGCTTTTTACCTTAATAAAAGGCATGCAAATAAATCTTGACAAATAATATAAAGCATGAAATAAACCTTATAATACATCACATTTCCCATCATGTAGACTGCTAGAAATCCTATAGGTAAATGTGGCATCTGCAAGTTTATAGGTCTTTCTGGAATATGCTTATAAATTTACCTCACCCCTGTGAATATTTAAATTTCCCGGTTCTGCGTTACCTTTGCCCTTTTCTCTTATTTATTTCTAATTTATTTGTTCTGGGTGTAGTCTATGAATTTTTGTCAGCTACTTTAAACCTTTTTTGGAATAAGGGAAGGGGATTATCTATACATATATATTTTTTAAATCCTGGACTTAGGTTAGAAAGAGGAGATGCTATTAAACTCAGAGACCCTTGCTAATATTGCCTCATAGGATAAAAGGCTATGGGTGACCAAAGGCTCTGCAGTTCCAAACAGGAGAGTGAAGTGGAATATACTGGAAACGTGTATTGGACTTGATTTCTGAAGATCTGCCAAGGATGACTATATGAGTTAAAGAGTCATAGCTGCCCGAAATCTCTATGATTTAATGAAATAGAAGTTTGAATTTCACTCATGTGGATTCCAAAATGGGTGATTGTCTTCCAAATGGCGATTCAGTGTTGCAGGACCCTCTCTCTCTCTCTCTCTCTGTTTTCATCTTCAAAGTGTGGCTTCCAAGTTTGTCACGCTCTTCGGCAGCGAGCTACTGGAGGAGGCAAGAAAATGGAGGATTCCACCAGGAAGGTGTTTATGGGTCAAGCCCTGGAGGTAGTCATTATCTCTTCTACCCACCCTCCACTGGTCATAGTTACAGTGCCACATTTAACTGCAGCAACAGCTGGGACATTTAGTCTTGTTGCATACCTAGAATAAAGAGAAAACAGGTTTCAGGAACAGCTATCCAGTTTGTCCCCATAGCTAGAAGTGGCGGATTGGGATACAAACCTCCATCCTCTGATTCTGTTGATCCTCCATCTGATGTTGTTGTTAGCTGCCATTGAGTAGGCCCGATTCACGGCAACAGCACGCACAACAGATCAAAAGTCTGCCCAGTCCTTGCTATCCCCATGATCAGTTGGGGATCAGACTGTTGTGATCTGTAGGGTTTTCAGTGGTTGATCTTTGGAAGTAGATCCCCAGACCTTTCTTCCAACTTCCATCTACTAGGTTCCCCTCCCCCTTTTTTTTAATTCTTGAATATGTTCTTCTTTTCTTTTTTAACTGAACTTTATATTTGGAGAGAATTGTACATTCACCTGCAGTTATAAGAAAAAATACAGGGAGATCCGTGTATACTTTACCCAGTTTCCTCAATGGTAATATATTACAAAATTATAATACAATACCACAGTCAAGGTATGTATTGAGATTTTTAGAGTCCACATACAAAACAGCTCCTTCACCACAAGAATCTCACCTCCCTTTCGCCCCATACCTCATCCATCTCTAACCTTTGGCAAGCACTAATCAATTATCCATTTCTTTTTTTTCCCCCATTTCAAGAATGTTATAAAAATGGAATCATAAGTATGTAACCTTGTTGTTGTTATTGTTAGGTGTCATCGAGTCAATTCTGACACATAGTGACCCGTGCACAACAGAATGAAACACTGTCCAGTCCTGCGCCATCCTCAAAATTATACTTGAGCCCATTGTTGTAGCCACCATGTCAATCCATCTCATTGAGGCTCTTGCTCTTTTTCACTGACCCTCTACTTTACCAAGCATGATGTCCTTCTCCAGGGACTGATCCCTCCTGATAACATGTCCAAAGAATGTGTGACGAACTCTCGCCATCTTTGCTTCTGTGGAGCGTTCTGGTTGTACTTCTTCCAAGACAGATTTGTTCGTTCTTTTGGCAGTTCAAGGTATATTCAATATTTTCGCCAACACCGTACTTTAGAGGCGTTAATTCTTCTTTGTTCTTCGTTATTCATTGTCCAGTTTTCACATGCCCATGAGGTGATTGAAAACACTATGGCTGGGTCAGGCGCACCTTAGTCTTCAAAGTAACATTTTTGCTTTTTAACACTTTAAAAAGGCCTCTTGCAGCAGATTTTCCCAGTGCAATGTGTCATTTGATTTGTTGACTGCTGCTTCCATGGGTACTGATTGTAGATCCAAGAAAAATGAAGTCCTTGACAACTTCAATATTTTCTCCATTTATCATGGTGCTGCTTATTGGCCTAATTGTGAGGACTTTTGTTTTCTTTATGTTGAGGTGTAATCCATACTGAAGACTGTAGTCTTTGATCTTCACCAGTAAGTGAAGTGCATCAAGTCCTCTTCACTTTCACCAAGCAAGGTTGTGTCATCTGCATAACCCAAGTTGTTAATGAGTCTTCCTCCAATCCTGATGCCCATTCTTCTTCATATAATCCAGTTTCTTGGATTATTTGCTCAGTATACAGATAGAATAGATAAGGTGAAAGGAAACAACCCTCATGCACACCTCTCCTGATTTTAACCACAAAGTATCCGCTTGTTCTGTTCAAACGATCCATGTACAGGTTAAGTGTCCTGGAATTACCATTCTTCTCAATGTTATTCATAACTTTTTGTGATCCACTTTTTTGCATAGTCAATAAAACACAGGTAGAAATCTTTCTTGTATTCTCTGCTATCAGCCAGGATTCACCTGACATCAGCAATGATATCCCTTATTCCACATCCTCTTCTGAATCTGGCTTGAATTTGTGGCAGTTCCCTGTCAATGTACTGCTGCAACTGCTTTTGAATGATCTTTAGCAAAATTTTACTTTTATTATTAATATTGTTTGATAATTTCCACCTTTCTTTGGAATAGACATAAATATGGATCTCTTCCAGTCACTTCGTCAGGTAGCTGTCTTCCAGATTTATTGGCATAGATGAGTGAGCACTTCCAGTGTTGCATCTGTTTGTTGAAACATCTGGATTGGTATTCTGTCGATTCCTGGAACCTTGTTTTTCGCCAATGCCTTCACTGCATCTTGAAGTTCTTTCTTCAGTACCATCGGTTCTTGATCATATGCTACTTCCTGAAATATAATTGAATGTCAACCAATTCTTTTTGGTATAATGACTCTGTGTATTCCTTCCATCTTCTTTTCATGCTTCCTGCCTCATTCAGTATTTTGCCCATAGAATCCTTCACTGTTGCAACTCAAGGCTTGAACCTTTTCTTCAGTTTTTTCAGCTTGAGAAATGCCAAGCATGTTCTTCCCTTTTAGTTTTCTAACTCCAGGTCTTTATACATGTCGTTATAATACATTATGTCTTTTTGAGCCACCCTTTGAAATCTTCTGTTCAGCTCTTTTACTTCATCATTTCTTCCATTCGCTTTAACTACTCGATGGTCAAGAGCAAGTTTCAGAGTCTCTTCTGACATTCATTTGAGTCTTTTCTTTTTTTCCTGTCTTTTTAATGACCTCTTGCTTTCTTTATGTATGATGTCCTTGATGTCATTCCACAACTTGTCTGGTCTTCGTTCATTAGAGTTTGATGCATCAAATCTATTATTAAGATGGTCTCTGAATTCAGGTGGGACACACTCAAGGTCATACTTTGGCTCTCGTGGAATTGTTCTAATTTTCTTTAGCTTCAACTTGAACTTGCATATGAGCAGTTGACAGTCTGTTCCGAAGTTGGCCCCGGCCTTGTTTTTACTAATAATATTGAACTTTTCCATTGTCTTTTTCCGCAGATGTAGTCAGTTTGATTCCTGTGTATTCCATCCAGCGAGGTCCACCTGTATAGTCACCGTTTATGTTGTTGAAAAAAAGGTAT